TTTTTTTTTTTTTTTTTTTTTTTTTTTTTTGTACCAGGGATCAAACTCTGGTCCTTGCGCTTGTGAGGCAGGCAGCAGAACCAATGAGCTAAAACCCTAGCCCCTCCATTGCATTGATATCTGCCCTGATCTTTGTAATTTCCTCCTTTGTATAAGCTTTGGGTTTGTCTTGCTCTTCTTTTTCTAGGAGCTTGAGGTTCAGCATTAGGGTATTTGAGCTCCAGTGCTTATATGTTCACTGAGAAGAGTCCTAAAGTATAGCGGCAGTGTTTAGTGAATCCCTGCCGCGGACTGTTATATCTGTGATGGTTAAGAGAGATATGGCAGAAGCCCTGGTTTATAATAATGCATTATTTTTATTAACATGCTTAAACTGAACATTTTTAAATATTCTTATTTTATAATCATGTGCTGAGCTAAACAGGATTGCAAATTTTCCAAGATTGTTTTATCAAGATTTCTTTTTGCAGGTTGAATTTCAGGCAGGCTCTGAAGGCCAACTGCTGCCTCAGCATTACTTGAATGCCCTGGACAGTGCCCTGATCCCTGTGATCCATGGGGGAACCGCCAGCTCGACTTTGCCATTGGAAATGGAATTAGTATTTTTCATTCTGGAGAATCTGGTGTAGTGAGAGGATGAGCCATGTCAGGTACTGCAGACTGATCTGTCAGAACTAACCCAGCACTGAAAGTGAAGTGCCACAAACACTACATGTTTGATGTTGGAAACACTTAAGCTTTGCTTTTCAGACAGAAATGACCTATTAAAATCACACTATTTAAATATCTAAATTTAAAGTATCCACCATGTTTGAAGCTTTACATTAATACAAGCACTAAAAAGACAAGGACTTCTACCTTTAAGAAACTAATAGCATTTACTGTGTTCTTTCAATGTTAAGCCAAAGTGTATGCACTTAGTTATACCTCTTCATGCCAAGAAAGATTTTAATGAAGGCTCTTTGCACATGTAACCTTATGAAGGAAATACCTGCTTGTGTAAAAGCTAGTGAGAACACTGGCTTCTAAAGTTTGTTTAAAATGTATTTCAACAGCATAGACCAGTTTCAAGATCTTAGGCTTATAGTTTTTTAATAAAGCTAATAACTTATTTGTATAATTGGAGTGGAGACCTACTTCCATGATTAGAGAAATTCTGATTGTTTGGATTAAAGTCAGAATTTTGCCTTTTTTCTTCTCAAATTATAATATAAGTGTATATGGTTTTTCCTGATTAAATGGATATTAAAATAATTGTGGGTGCTTCAGGATTTTGTGCTTCTATATTTAAGTACATTGTTTTTATAGCAACATGTGATTCAGAATGTGTTTTATAAATCTTTAATAATTTATAAATAGGTAATATTTTTGTATCACAGTGCATTATTTTTCCTCTTTTTTTCCAAAGTGTATCAGTGTATTTGCCACTTGTAAGAGCGATTGACGGCAGGCCAGTGGACCTTGAAGTAGTCAGTACGAAGCAATAATCGAAGCCTGAAACAGGTTTTTTTTTACTTCAATGTTAATCCTTAGAAATTTCTTGGCAAGTCTACATATTTTTATTGATACCATGAATGAATATAAATTTTAATGAAGTAACCACTTTTGCATATTTTAAATTCTTTATGTGGTGGTTATTTTTATAATAGGATATTTAACATAAGTTGTATGTACTTGAAACTGTTACAGAGCTTCTCTTTTTACTTCAAATAGGAAAAAAATGGCATATATTAGTCCTGTCATTTAAGTTATATAAAATCTAATCATTATTTGTTGCCTTTTTCTAGCCCTGTGTGGAATATATAGGTTTTTTTGTATCAGAAACACTCACTGTATATCTAAAGAAAAAGAAAATACACTAAATAGCCCTGTTATAAGAACATCTCAACTTTTAGATCATATCAAGGCTGTCACACAGGATCTGCAGTCTCGGGCTAGGAGAGACAAGAAGTTTCATCCATTTCAGCATACAGTCTGTACTGAATCATACCTGTCGTCCTAGCCAAAGACACAGTTCAGGAGAGAAGATCAGTCTTCTGGAAATTGCTCCTTCATAAACAGTGTACAATGTTACAGAGACTAAGTACAATGGCAATATATAACTTGTGGAATTTACTGAAATGGTTTAAGATAAAGACAGTTGCATATCAAAGTCTGTTTTCTTTATATTGTGTGTTTATTTTTTAGTGTAGTAGAAATGTCTTTTGTAGTATAACTGCACAATTTAGGAATAGTGACTATACCTTAAACAACCAGTGGGGGAAGGCTGTTCCTTGATAGGGTAATAAGGTCTCTCTGTACAATAAAAATTTGAATTAATGGGGCACATGTTAGAGTGTTCTTTGTGATGTGTATTTGTATTGCATTGCTCCTCATTAGGTCATGTTATTCACATTGGAACTGAAATTTTAGGTCTTGTAAAGGTGAAGAAATAGAATGGCTCTCTTACTCCATCTACAGTGATCTTGTTTTGGTTTTATGCCTTATACTACAACTCCTTCTAAATTTTGAAATCAAAGTAAAATATAGCCCATTTGGGGCCAGGGATTTAGCTCAGTGGTTCCGCTGCCTAACAAACTCAAGGCTCCAAGTTCAATCCCCATTACCCAAAAAAAAAAAAAAAAAAAAAAAAATATAT